GATAAGTCGAACCAAATTGGTTGGCAATAGCGTCAAAAGTAGGAAATGCGTGTAAATTTGTCTTACTCGAACTTCGATTACTGGAATATCTTGATAACTCGAACGAAATATTTTGCGCCAACTTTGATAAGTCGAATTTTCTGGGGGAGTCTTGTAATTACGGTCGATTTTAACCTATCTTTTTTAACGTATTTATTCTGCGCTTGCTAAGTTCACTTGTTTGACTTACTAGTTACTACTAACAATAAGTAAAAAATACTGTGCCTATTTCGTTTATATATTACATTAAAGACATTTTTGCGTGTGTTAATATGTCATTAAAACGTACTTTAAAAGCATTGTCTGTTGGTCAAAAATTTAAGCTTATAAAGGAAGTGGAAAGTGGCTCAAGAAATATAGATGTAGCTTTAAAATACGGTATTCCGGCAAGTACAGTTTGTACTATTCTAAAGAATAAGCACTCAATTATCACCGCAGTGGAAAATGATAGTGCAAGTGGGAATATCAAGAGGCTAAAACAGCCTATGTATGAAAATGTAGACAAAGCAGTTTTAGAGTGGTTTAAATCGGCAAGGAGGCAGAACTTACCTATATCCGGGGGGTTAATTAAAAATATGTTAATAGTAAATACATAAATGTTCATTCACAAAGAAATACTAATTAAAAAAGTATTATTTGATAACTAACTCGAAGTTTTGATAACTCGAAGTTTTTATGTGTCACATCGCAGTTCGAGTTACCGAAGTTCAACTGTTGTTACTTATGTAGTAGATCCTCTCTACATGAATCTCTGATATATCACTTACACACCTCTTGATTACGAGTGTTAATAAAATTGCCGAATTCTTATATCAAGGAGTATCTTCAGCTACAAGCCTTACAGCTTTTATTATCGTACTCACAGAATTTCATGATAGTTTGCTATCGATCCAAAGTATTTCATGCTTGTCATAAACCTGCTATCTATATCATCACATTTATCGAGAAATTCTACATTACAAAACTGTAGTTGCCCTTAAACTACCTAATACCTATTTTTACAATTAAAATACACTTCATGAAAGATAAAAATATCTAATGCGACGTAATATTCGTTTCATTAAAACGCACTGTGAGAATATGGTCGAAATTCAAAATTGAGAATTAAATCACGATACTAATTAATCTCATCAAACAACTCAAAAAGAATAATAATTAGTTATGTAGTAAATATTCTGCCGTATCAATATTTGATAAACTGAACTAATTTAGAAAATACTACAAATGGCGCAGTAAACGCCATCTGTAGCACGATGCTACATTTTAGGATTATGTATGCTCCAACAAGGTCCACTTGTGTTTACAGCAGGTAAAAGTTAGTCTGTGTTCTGTCGGAGCTGCCTGCGACGCGCTGATGAGATCCAAAAAGATCAAAATCCGATCCGCGTCTGGCAGTTTCGACAGAATACAGACCACTTCGAATTATTTTATTTGAACTAATTTAATATTACACTTCGTGTCACTAGTTCAAAAGCACTACGTCGAGTTAGTTTTTAGTTGCCTCGATTAATAAATTTTTAACTCTGGCAGCTAATATTACAGCCTTATTAAAATTTAATCAATACTGTTCAAAACTATGCATGCTTCCCTTAACTGCAGCAAACTATTCCCGTCGAAACATATTCAAATAAACGGCTTGTTACTACATCTACTACAATATTTAGATTGCAAATATTTAAACACTTCAACGCAGAAAAATACTGTTTGAAGTAGCAATATAATTAGCGAGTAAATATTGAAAATTCAACATTGCATACTGGGTACTTGATGACAAATTATGTGCATACCTACATCATAACATTTTTACTTACACATTCCTACTAACAAATAAAATAATATTTTAATATTAATAATGCTGCTGTACGCATCTATAAAACTACCTATAAATTAGTGTTAATAAATTCCAGCATGAATTCATATAAAAGCCCTAAAACCCAAAATATTAAATATGCCTATTAGGAAAATCTGAAGCATTTTAAGGTTTTATCGGTTACTGAAATAAGTATAATCCTTATAATGTTTGTACATAGAACACCAGACTATGGTTACTACCATCCTGTACTCACTGACTTATTATAATAAATTAGTTCTTAGTAACTTCTTTGAATACATGATGTACGTCTCAAGCAATTACCTATACGACATAGGCGTCACCAAGGAGGAGCACGGGAGCTGCGTTTTAGAAATATTTAAATAAATAATAAAAAAATAAAATAAATAAAAAAAAATATGGGTAATAATATTATATGTCGAATGTGAACCCAATTTCATATATTATCAGTTGCTAGCAGTGACATTATATGTACCAATTTTCTTGTCTTTACTTCAGTTCTTAAGGAATACCCACTAGATGGCATGGCGATACACTGCCTCTGATTTTTACTATCGTTCGTGACTTTACAACAAACAAGTTGAGCACTTGGGGCAGTTCGAACTCTTCGTTGTGGCTTAATGTTAATATGCTACCTTTTCTTCTGAATTTTTATTTTAAAATAGACAAAAATCGAAGACGATCCAAAACACGTGCAAGCATAGCAGCTGTCAAAAATTAACTGAACTTTCAACATGGCTGAACATGTCGATATAAATGAGAGACATAAGTACCAACATAACTTCACGAAAAAATTGAAAGACGAATGTACGTAACCCTAGGTAATTCAAAATTCCCAATACTTTCTGAACAGATCTCGTATTATTAAGCACTATATCTTCTTATTAACAAAAATCTGAAAAATAGCAATATAACAATACTACCTTTGAAAAATGTCATTGTAATTATATAATAGCCATATTGTATCTTTCAAGTTTTCGAAATTAAACAAAGGGTTACTATTTCAGAAAAAATCTAGTAATTTCAAAGAACACTGTGGGAGGAATTCGTGTGAACTAAATTAACAGCAATAACGGTCTAGATTTTCTGTATTCCGTATATGTTTATTTTTTACATTTGTTTTTGTAGCCTTTTATATAGTTTATAAAAGTTCTTGAACATCGCTTAAATTTTCCATAATGAAAAACTGAGAACAGAATTTAAACTTCCGTCTATTATAAGCAGTATTTAAATTTGCTTATTAGGTACTATACTATATTTTATAGTGGTTTACTAACACACAATCGCAGTAACAACGATGTCAATGTGAATATACCGATTCATTTTTTTTATGTTTGCTTGATTATTTAAACAGGCTATTAAGTTAAATCTAGTTTCCATGAAAATTAACCGCTCTCGGCAAAACAACAGCTTGTTCCATTAAAGTGATAAACATAAGCGGTCATCAATGAATGGCAGTCAGTGTCAGCAACTATACGTATGATTAGTGAAGTAACTGTAATGTAAATATGCAGATGAATGCATCGACGATGAGTTAGATTTAATTTGTCGGATCGTCAGTTCGGTCATGTAAACATTACTTTCAATCTTTGAGTTTGTAGGCAGTGCTTTACTTTCTCTTTAACGAAAAAAAAGCAATAATTTAGGATATTGTTCCATGTGAAATATCAATATGATGTATTCATTGACAGATTAACTATGAAGTTATAAATCTGCACTATTCTTTTAAATGAACTGTAATGATCCTCTAGTAAATTGCCAAGGGAAGAGCAATAATTAAGAACACCTTTTTGTATTTTCAAGGTTGCATAAAACGTAACAAAATAATCGCTTTTCAAAATTATTCAGTTTCAAAGTTGATAATATTTTACGCTGTTAATTAAAAAATAATGCAGTAATTCATCCTACACAAGAAGGTGACATATCTCGTAACCTTTTTTTTTTAAATCAGGTGAAATATTACAATAATTTTTAATATATATACAACGAGTTTTTACTTTAAAATAGCGCTGATATTTAATAATTATTAAACAATTAATTATTCAATTAATTTCATCCCACAGTTAATACACACACACACACACAGTTTGTTGCTACAGTTAATAAGCTTATAATTAGTGGTAAGAGTACTACTGCGTACAGCTAGGGGCCCTGGTTCAATTCTCGTAGAGGGTGTAACTGCAGCAAAAAAAAATTTTCTTCCTTAACTTGAGGTAGACTGTAGTAGGAAGAAACTAATGTCACATTAGTGTTAAATAATTAAAATAGTTTTTATTTAAATTTACAATAAACAAATTGCGTAAACTGACTTCAAAGGAATAATGTGTGATTATCTAATACATATGTTTAAAAATACAGGCAAGAAACTTCCTGAATCATATTTTAATTTAGACTACCCTATTTTCCTTTTATTCCTCTTTAAATTCTAGTCGCTTGTGTTTTACTGTTGTTTTTATTATGTGCAACTGTAAAGTGGAAACAATATGTTTTTTATTTATTAAATAAGCAAAGCGGAACGACGAAATGGCTAACTGGATAAAAACTGCAAAATATGTTTATTAATTTTTAGACTTCCTTCAGCATATTTTTTTCTGAAAAATAAACTGAATAGCCCACTTTATTTAATTATTTATGTATGTACGTAGCACTCACAATTATATATTAATTAACAAAATAGAATGCTAGTCTTTCAAATTCTGTATGAAATTTTGAAACTTGTCACGTATCACTTGAGAAATAAAAGAAGTTACAAACTTCTACATATTATAGTCCTACAATTTACCAAAAAGATGACACAAAACTGTAGTAAAAAGTTATTCCTACATTACAAATTCAGAAACCATTTTACCCATACTTCACCTGTAAGAAAACACAAACAAATTCATGCTTTTATTCACAACAACAGACAAAGCAATGGAAATACTGATAGGATGTTTTCATTAATGCTGCCGAAAAAGAATGACAATTTTAGAGAAATAATGATTAAACTTTAACTTCGCTATTTCCCATCTGCTTCAGTAAGACAGTGTGAAAAGCTACAGTTGAAATTTCACTTATTGTACTTGCACAGACACACAGCAGAAGCCTGAGGCTATGGTCCATCTGTCATCTGTAAAAGCGCCGCGTTGCCCGCTTGTAGTGCGTCGCGGTCAACTCTTCAGCAACACCAGGATCCGAAGGAGTAGGAAGGAAGGAGGAAACGAGTTGCATTGGTAACCCTGTTTCTTGACTCGAACTGGTCCATGCGACATACATTACTAAATGTGTGTTTTCAGAAGATATAAAATCCTGCACGCTTTTCTGCATTCTTCATTCACAAACATCACTCGGTCATGATTCTTCAATAGTCCTTACAAGCTCGGCATATAGTACCTACATTTGTTGTGGACCTGTGCTTTGTGCAAAAAGTTATTTGTCACCTGTTTTAATTTTTATAAGGATTTATTTCTGTTACGAATTGCGAAAAAGAGGTTCTCCAGTGATCACCAGCAAAATGCATATAAAAGTGATTTGTACTGTGATTCTATTGAGTGCTATCGTTCACGGTGGACCAGCTATTGGAGAATCCGTCAAACCAGTGGAAAATTTGGTAAGAAGTACAAAACAAATCGAAAGCTCAACTGATAAAAGGTAGAGGAACTGCAGCATATTTGGAATACTAGTTTGTTTTTTGAGGATAAATTCAAAGAGAAACGGGATGGCTCAATACAAAATACATTAAACGATTGATAAATTATTAAACTTTAATAATAAAAACAAATAAACATAACAAAAACCAGATGCCTTATCACAATGCCTATCAAACTAAAAAACTCCAAAATCGAGATTTGAAGGTAATCTGAAATATAGTATCTTTTTTGACACTTGTTAACACTTTTCCTTAGAAACAATAGATTTCTTATTTTTGTAACAGTTTTATAGTCTTTTGATCTTTAGATAATCAATCTTTTTCAAATAAAATAAAATAAAATAACATCTAATTAATTCCAATATATGCTCTCTTTCTGTATTCCAAATTAACAACATACCATCCTAACATAAAATTCCATGTCACATTTTTAATTCTAGATATATTCACAAAATCATAGTAACATTTTAACTAACGAGATCACTTAACAGTTTAAATAATTACGATGAAGATTTAAAGTATTACAATAAATGATTATCACTGACTGAATTTTTACCGAATTTTTTTTCAAAAGCAGGTGTCTTGTTCCCTTCTGGCTGGTAGCCGGAATGCCAAAATGGCGTCTTATTTTTAATACTCGATGGCTTCGTGTGTCGTATGACTTTATGTTTATGCCAAAAAAATACAGATAACGTTCATAATTATTTAGATATCGACGTATTCTAAGTTACCTGCAGTATCCCAGATATACTGCAGTTCCTTTACTAAATTTTTGTATCGAAATTTTTGCGCAGATAGGTAATAAACAAATTATGTTTGTGTGTCCTTTCGCATTCGCAGTGATACAAATAAAATTTTTAGCCTTGTTTCAAACAATTGTAAACTCGTTAAGAATTTGCTGCTCAAATTAAAGGAAATTCGAAAGTAAGCTCCAAAACTCGCATCTAAACTTTACTTTCTGGCATTCGTGACAAAAATGAAGAAAATGCAATGCTGCATAAGTTTAGAAAATTTTCCCAAGAATTTTCAACTTTATATCTCGCACAAATGAAACTTGAATTACTTTTCTTAACGGCACCGTAACTCGAGATAAGCAATGGCATAAAGCGTGGAATGTAATCAACTGAATTCAGTTTGTTTCAAATACGTATAATTTCTTCCAAGGATTTACATGAGGTATTAAATAAGGTAATACTTAAAATACTTCGGCAAGTCGCTTCCCTACAACGTAAAATATATGTGTAATCCCAGTGCAATAAATAAAAACACCTGTTGATTTTGACAATCTTTTCAAAACCAGATTAGTTAATTTTCGCGAAGAAGTTGCAACAATCAAATAGGTATAGCTGTAAAAAATGACTACAATGCAAATATTACAGATAAAGTATTAAATAGAAAACTAAATTCAAAAGCCATATGGAATGACTGGGAAACATTTCTGCAAGGATAAACTCAATAAAGTTTATTATCCCTTAACATCGTCACTAAATAAAATTCGCGCCGTTTTCCTTATTTCTGCGGATGTTAGCTTTTCGACAGAATAAGATAATAAATCTTTTGAAAGTTTTATTACTTCAGCCCCCACTATAGATGGCTCAGAGTTTATTGGTAAACATTGAATTAAAGACCAACATCAAACAAAAAAGTAGAATCTACAGAATATCTGTACTGTAAAAATTGTGATGCTATAGTTATTTAGGTAAAACAGGTGGAGCAATGAACATATTATAATTAATGAGTAACTAAAGATCATTAAACAACTCGATGTAAAAACTGGTTATTCAGACCATTATATTACTTTAGTAAAACAATTGGATTTAGAAAACAAAAGAGTGCGACATACAAATGAAAATGAGGACAAGAACTAGCCGTTATTTATAATATCTTGAAATCAGGAAAACTTTATAACAATAATTTAGTTAATTTAATAAACAAATAGGTAAGATCTTTTCCTCCCTGTTCATTTTAAATTGTCACTCGCATAGTATTTAAACTAGTAATAAGATACCTACTCTTTAATTGCATATATCGACGCAATATTGTTAACATTCTCTAAGCAACAAATTATGTTATAATATCGTCACTATTGTACTGTCTTAGTACACTAAAAGAAAATTTATTTTAAGATTGAAAAAGCAATCCTAAAAATTTTACTTTTAAATTTTACTGTTATTTGAAAAAAAAAATATCAGCTTGCTTATTCTTCCTGACATCCGAGCCTGTCAGGAAGCGGAAATAAAGACAAATTTGATTATTCATTTTAAGCATCAAAAATTTAAATTCACTGAAAATTGCCTCTCCAGAACGCTTTCATTGTGTGCCTTATCTAAACGATGATAAAATGGAAGTAAAAATGTATATAAGCTGTTGAAGCTTACCTCAATATTCGTTTAACAAGTTAAAATTCATAACTGTGATACTTAACTCACCTACTAACACGAACAATGTCACACTTAAAACAAGTTATGAGAATAATTTATAATTTCATAAATTTATAAAATTCAACTAGTAAATCATTAGAATTACCTTTTTATTGCAGAGTAACTGTATTGCTTACATTTTTTTTTTTAGTTAATTTCGCGTTAATTGTTAAAACAACATTAAATAAATAATTCCTACCCAATATTAATATTAGTTTAATTAATAAAACGCTTATGAAATTATCTATCAATGATTGCAAATCTTTCTTTTTTTGAACTATACTAAACAGAGGCGCACTAGCTAACTTGATAATAACCTCAACATTGAATCACTTCTCTATATACATTGGATTTCGGGTATAACGACTACGAAGGTACCACTGTAATTTCGTCGTTATAAGCAAAGGTAAAGGGTTACAAACACGTATGTACAGTTTTCACCATTTTTCAATTTTGAAACAATTTTCGTCTTTTTTTAACAGTAAATGTGCACCTAAGTTTACTAAACACAGTTGCTACTCAGAATATTACTTTGTAACTGAACCATTTTAACGTACACGCTTACCTACCTACTCAGCCGATTCCGGTCGCTATATCTGCATGGGATTACTAGAGATTTGTTACAAATGATTAATTAAAAACAGTCGCTACACCCGAACTCGGCGTTATATCCGATGTCGCTATAGTCACATGAATTTTGTACTAAAGTATGCTTTAAATTCAGGGGACTTAAGTTTAACGTCGTTATAGCAAAATAGTCGTTATAACCGCTATTCTACTATACCGTAAGTTTGTATTTATGCTTCAATCTATCAATCTCCCATTTAGTCGGTAAAAAATTCATAAAATATCGTAGAGGCGATCGATTTATCTTTTAGAGCACTACGATTTTGTTGTTTTTTCATTCGACTTTATTAAGCGGTATAGAAGAGATTACTAAAAAGAAAGGCAATAATAAAAATATGCTGACGTATTTTAATAATTAAACTAAAATGTTAACAAATTCAAAAAGAACCAACCACCTTTGAGATGTAGCCTATACAATTAGAAACATCAGATGGAAATAACGAGGTTGCGCAATCTCTTTAATAGTTTTTTATTGTCTCCCAATTTTCCACCCTTACAGATGGAACAGTTTTTCAAATTTAAACGGAATATTCCTTGAAATATATCCTATTTAATAAAAAAAAAGAATCATTAAAATCGGTTTACAAATAACGACGAAATCGCGTAATATACACAAAAAAATCAATCGAATTAAACACCTTCTTTTCTCAAAGTCGCTTTTACCTTGCAATCATACCGTAAATATCTATCTCCTTCAATGCTACAACATTCTAGAACTAAATGACGATTAAAACGCTTAACTAGAAAATGGAGAAGTACCTTAGACCTACTTCAATTTCTAAAATGTTACTATTTAATCAGAATTTTTAGTTGAAAGTCATCAATATTCACTTTTTTAAGGTGGAACTAACTTATTGCAATAAGGTGGGCGGGTTTAAATGTATATATTCACTCTGAGTAGTATATTTAAACCTTAAAATTTTGGCGTTTAAGATATTGTTTGAGCTAAGATTTCCCTCAAGAAAACTAGAACCTCTAGTCTCTAATCGCGCAGCGGCGCTTGATAATTGATGATGTTTTTAGATCCAGTCAGTTTTGGTCTTATCTCTAGTCTTCCTAGTTCCCTACATGACATGTGTTGAATGCGCCACCAATGGTGCCCACCTTCCAATCTTGGACGGGGTCAAAAAATTGTATTAGCAAATTCTTTACGGGATATTCTATAAATTGCATTCTAACTCTAGCTAGATTATACGGATATAAAACACTTCCTAAATAAAACTCTGTTAGCCTGATATAAAATCATTGCTTCATAAAAATTCAAAAATACTATATCTGCTGGTATTTTTTTTAACATTATGAACTGTCGTAGGTCCATCCGAATGGTTATCATACGGTAGAAGAGTCTTTGATGAAGAAACTTAACACAAAATGTATCGACCGCGATATCAGTTCTTGTATGATGTTAAAGCTGGTAACGTATGTTAACCGATTTTTAAAAAAATCAACAATTGAAATCGGAGACGTAGAAATCAAGCAAACATCGGTCGAAATGGAAACGGAAGAATCTGGAAGAAGCTTGGATGTAGACAAGATGCCAGAAGATGCTCAACTTTATGAAGTAATTGCCAACAAGTTTGCCAACTTTGTACGAACAAGGTCCCTCAAATGGAAGGTAATTTGATTTAAATGTTTTCAACAGTAGAAGTTTCTATATAATTTGAAATTTCGAAGACGCTGCAGAGATTCTGTGGTGCTGTAAAAGCCATAAATTCATTACCACGTCGTGCAGGGGTGTGATACAAACAGAAGTTCAATAGAACCTTAATTAGACACATTAACGAAAATTTACAGCCAACAGTTCAAATTCCTTATAATTTCCCTTAAACTGATTTATTGGTATCACACTCAAAATTACTGCAAGCAAAACAGTTAGTAATGAGCAAAAATAGTACTGGTCTTGCAGTGTTGTCTCAGTTTTGCACATTTAGCAAGATCAAGGTCATGTTCGCACGACCAATATCAAGATTAAATGAACAATACCAACCAAGACTAACAGTACGACTTGCGAGCAATATCGTAGCAAAATTCTCATCTAAATTTGAATGCAGTTGCGAAATAGAATGAAATAATTCATTGAAATTTTTATCTAAGGAAATACAAACAAATTGGGTTATTATTAGGAATCCAGTTCTTTTGTAAAATAAATTTTAAATAAGAATAGTTTGCAAAATACACTGAAATAAACACAAAACGAATTAAAAGTAGCATATTTCTTCTATTAGCTGTATGCCTCAAAATTTTTAATTTTCCAGAAATCGGATATTTGTTGAATAAGACATCTACTTATTCGTATATATATCATCCTTAAAATATATTGAAATTATATTAAATTTATTGTGACATAAACAGGGTGTTCTAAAATTGACTAATTTAGCCGATCAAATAAAAAAGATAAACTAATTTTATGTTCCTTTTTGCAACTTTTGCTTGAAGATTAACAGTAGATAACTGAAGACGTCAAAATTTCGAAATTATAAGGATAGATATCAAATAACAAGACTATTAACGAAAGGCATGTTGTATCTCGAGATAAAAATGTTCAATCTCTCAGAGTATCTGAAAGAGAGACTCGAGTCTCCGTCTCTCTGGTGTCGCTGAGAGAGACTGTCGACAGACTACCAAAAAAACTGTTCAGCATCTCATAGAGAGATCCTCATTTCATATCCAGTCTCTGAACGAGAGACTCCAATCTCTCACTAAGTAGTGTCTCGATAGACACGGTTAAAAGTTCAACATATTTCAGAGATCCCAGTCTTTCTACGAGAGACTCGAGTCTCTCAATTTTTCAGTCTTATTCATTCAGTCTCTCTGTCAGAGACTCGAATCTCTGAATTAACATTTTTATCGTTCGTGTGTCTCATATCGAGACTGTGAGAGATCCATAAAAACACCTAGGCAATAAATAAGAGACTGTGAGAGACGCTCTCAGAGGCGCTGAAAGACTCTGAGAGACTGGAGAGAGACTGAAAATTTTTTGTCTAGGGATCCCTAATATAACATTACTTGGTAATTCTTTACATTACTTGACAAACGAGTTGAGATATGAAGTTTAGTCAGGTAGGCAGTACTCACTAAGTAAAGTTGCGTGGTAGTAATTATTACAATTTTGTTTATTATTTATTTAGTAAGCAATGTGGCTTGAGATGCAGCCTCTTAAAGTTTTCCTCCGATTATGAAAACTTTAGGAGCCTGTATCTCAAACCACATTGGTTTAATGGCATGGAATTAATAATACCATACAGGAGCTCAACAAGGGGGGGGGGGTCCAAGGGTGCCTGAGCACCCATGCGATTGGGTTGGGCCCTTCAGTCAATTCAAGTCGATTTAGATAATAACTCAAGATGAAAATTTGGTTCAAATAGTTCAAGCTCGTAAATGAGCAGCCGAAGTCGATCTTTTCAGCTTACACACACCCGCAGTATATAAATATTTATAATGTTATGATGGGAGCATCCAGTCAAACTGTAACGTTGTTGTGCCCTTGCTACCATACGATTCTATTAGATGAGTACTACTTACCTGACTTAACTTCATGTTTCAACTCGTCTGTCAACTAATGTAAAAAATGACCCATTATTTTCCTAAACTCTCACGATAAGTCTTACAAAAACAAGAACCAATCTAGCAACTGTCCTTGTGAAGACTAAGTAAGTCATAACAAGATCGAAACTTAATCTTGTCAAGGTCTTGTATTTGCTAATTAGTAAAATCAGTAATTCAGTAGATATCTTAAACATTAAATATCAGCAAATTTATTTTTGTTTCTCTCAAATTAAACGTAATTTATACTAATTTATCTTATAAAGGTTACCGAGGATACCGATGTTGTCGTTTCCACGAATACCAAGAATGATGGATCCCTTAATTTGGAGTTGTCGTTGAAACCAAGCGAGGGAATTGAAGGCGAGGCAAGAAAGAAGAAGAACCAAGGCTTGGGAGCTATTCTTGCCTTAGCTGCTTTAAAAATTGGTCTTCTCAAAGGATTAGCCCTCAAAGCTCTAGCACTCTTGGTTGGAAAGGCACTATTAGTCAGCAAGGTATGAATAATGTCTGCATTCAATTGATATAATCATTAATTGCCGCGCTGTCGTATGAATATGTATGACGCAGTATTATTGTAGTTTTCGTTTGCGTTCTAGTTTTAATTGCATTTCTCCGGTGATTGTAAATTATCGAAAATGCCTAATTGATATGTTTTAGGCTGCAATAATATTTTTAAAAATTCTAATGTTACGCAATAATCTACCTATAGAAGATACCTACATTTTAAAATAGTAGAACGTAGATCCTTTTCTTTTCTTCTTATGATAAGTACACCCTCACGTATTATGGCGCAAGAAGGGATAAGACTCAAAAGTAATTATGACTGGGCGAAGTTCCAAATGGGCCAGGTACTGGCTGAGTACTGAATGGGTTAGAATATATTTTGTGTAAAGTTGGAGAAAGTTATTTTTTATAGAATTACATATGCCCCGAAAGTGAGACGACCTTTGTATATCTTTGTAGCCGTGGTCACAGCAATTTTTTTTAACCAAGCTTTGAAGGTAGACCTTATATTGATATAAATCAACCCTAAAAATTTGGTAAAAAAATTGGTACTATAAATTATCATAAATAACCACACTTTCTTTTTATTTTATTATTAACTTAACATGAATATCACTAAACATAAAACCTACTTATTCACTTGAAGTTCGATACTTATCATGATTTTTTCGGTGCGACTGTTCAGTTACGAATGCCCATGTGCCCCTCGTGATCGCGAAAGGTACTTTTTCGTACTAAAATGACGAGATCGATCAAAAAAGGTAGATAAATCATATTTTGTTTACTGCTTTAAGAGCTGCTAGGACTTCTATTATCAATGATACGTAAAAAAAGCGATAACAAAAGCTATTTTTTTATTTACAATATATCCCAACGTTTCAACTTCTTTTATTTATTGGCTGAAGTAGTTCAGATTGGTTGTTCTTTTAAAATAAGCATATCAAGCATGTTTTGGTCTAAGTTTTACTATAAATATGTAATATATAGATAAGATAATCTTTCATTCTCTTCTGTCTTCATTTCGTCCGTCTCATCTTTCTCACTCGAACCACCACCCACCCATTCCCACGATTCCAGAAAGGAGGCTAAAGTGGGTCTTCCGCCCTACCTTCAGGCGTAATCCGGAGGGACTGCCTTACTGACTGGTAGGAACGAAACACCCAAAAAGTTTTTCTTCTACTCAGTCGTTTCCTTTGTACCTTGGTGCAAAATTGAATGGCATTGGCAATAAAAAATAATGTAAATCCGGAATATTTCATTCCAAGAAACTGCAGTTTGAAGATTAACTCAAATCATCGACCTAAACTACCGAATTAATTTAGAAAACGACAGGGTCTTTACAATAGTAAAACTTGAGAAAAGGGAATTTTGTTCCCCGACAAACCCGCAGAATTATTTAATATATATTTCCTATAGTAGGTATGCACTTACTTATTATTTCTGTGACAATGGAAATAGAGCAAAAAGGCTTATTCCAATTTACCACAAGACTTTTAATCAACGCGGACACGTGTTTCGCTTGCTTATGTTGTGAGCATTGCATTGAAAATTCTCACAACGTAGGTACCGCTTTTTCCCTTCAAGGACGTAATATATCCTAGGTTTTTATATTATATGAACCATATTTGAATAACACACATTTTCTTCATAAAAGAAGAATACATAACTTAGCGCAACGATGAATGACAACATTGCCGGGTGGGTGCCGCACACAAAGCTACAATTAGCCGTATTATAAATTTTATTGAAGATTTTTTCTTTTGGAACATTAAGAGTAAATTTCTAGAATGAGACGGAAGTTGGACGCTTAAAACGCAACTCTCGAAGGCATCTCCCAACTGCCAACTGTAATAAAAAAAAAAACAATTTGTATGGTTTTATGAAACCATGATGCAAATGAAACTTTTCGGATTGTAGGCATTTAACTGTAAATTTTCGGACAATTATTCGTTTTAGATTATTAAAATTACAATTGCGTTCTTAATCGTATCTTAATGATTGGAAAATGGGAATGATAATGGAAGATCAATAGTAGTCAAAATATTCAACTATAAATTTTAATTTCAATCTGCGTATTAGAGTACGGAATGCAAAAGAAATACAATCATTCAGATGATAGACGCATGTTAATAAAACTGAGAACAATATTTATTTAAATCATTAAATGATTTTGAACTTCAGTTATTCTATCGATAATTTCATCTTTGCTTTGAGTTTCACAGTCTATAAATGTAATTGTCATGCACTTGCACGAAAGTGAGAATATAAATGCTACACGGTTGGCTCATGCGAGCCATGGGCGCCGCCATATTGACCTTAGCTGGTTGTGCGCTCTAATGCGACATGTGATAGATGGACGAAAGAATTTCAGGCGATGTAATAAAAATATCTCTTTAAAAATATTGTTTCAATAAATATATTTTTATTATGTACGTACGTACAAATCAGCTAAATAAATATGCAAGTACATAGAAGTATAACTTCTATAGCGTGTACGTAAACACACATACCCCTTTTTTTTACGCGTTCAAACTTTTAGCAAGTTTAATACTATAACTAGTAAACTTCTGGAAAATTTTAAATTGATAAAGTTACTCTTTTTGTTTAGCTTGCGTTGGTCCTTGCGGCAGTAATAGGTTTGAAAAAATTGTTCCACCAAGAGAAGCACGTAACCTACGAGGTGGTGGCTCATCCTCATCACGAACACCATGAACACCACGAAGTTAGTGGTGGTGCTTACGAGCACGGTGGTCACTCATGGGGAAGGAATTTCAATGCCGCTGAACTTGCCTACAGGGCTCACAAACCGTCTCATTAAAAGACGCCATAAAGCAATGCGCCGCATCGGCGATTATCGTTAATTCCATTATTTATTTAATTTATTACTTGTTGTGATTGTTTATCTACGTGTCTCGTCCTACACGTTAATATATAGTTAAGTTTTAATTTTAACGATTGTGTTCTGTTGTTTTACAAAAAAATATAAAATAATAAGTTGTTACAAAAAAGTTCAAATGAATTTTAATTCCAATACCTACTCTTCAGTCAGTACCCAAAAGATAACAAAAAAAATATTACGTACACTAAAACAATATCTATCGTTTTACACACAATCAAAACTGATTTCGTACTTACAAAAGTGCTTAAATTGCAAAATAAATAAATGTAATAAAACACTTACCAATTAAGCTGTACTTTCGTTAGAGATTCTGGAAAAAAAAATAAGTATATTTAAATACCTTTTAAAATATCAAAAATCTTGATTATTATGGCATTTAGTTGATAAATCTCGATTTTATAATGTAAATAAATAAAGTTCTCAAATTATAAGCTGTATTACAATCCTAAAAATACAAAATAGTTAAGGATGTTCTAGTTTTAGGCGAAGATTAGCTCAGGATAAGAAGGAGTGGAGGAGCATGTTAAACCAGTTTGAGGATTGACGACCTTGTGATTATGATTACAATCCTACTGGCTGCACCAAATTATGTTGAAATACTACCGACTGTACTGTCTAAGTTTGTTCAAAATTCAATAAATTATATATATACTAAAAGAATAAAGCAATATTAAGTTCAATACAGCATTTGGCATAAGATATGCTTAAAATTTAAAATTAGTTTAATAATTATGTATTATGCAGGCTTTTACTTTCATTATTTAATCTCATAATATTGGAATTTTGCATGTATCTCCCTTGTAGATTGTCAGAAATAGTTTTCAACGACAAGCCAATTTCATTTTCAACCCATACCGATCTCATCTGTGTACATGCACCAGACTTGTGAAATGGGATGCTGTCAAGTCAATACAATTGATATTAGTAAAAACACTTTCACGTAAACAACTCATTCAGTTAGTACAAGGCAAAAGAAGATCAAATGGAGTAATGTGGATGGCAGAGTAGAACTTAATAAACTACTAAACACCAAATACACAAAAACAAACGCCCTGGGCGTCCTAGCGCTTTAACAACCGATGACAAACTCAAAAAGGTGAAGAAAATGATTATTAACAATCATCAAATCACTAGAGAGTTAACAAACGAGCTTGACAGATAAACTGACTCATATCAATAACTGTTTCGTATGTTTTAGGCATGAAACGTGTGACAGCAAAATGGTTGAATTTCAACAAGAATTGGCGCCAAACCGAATGTGTCTATATTGCACAGGAGTTGCTGAATAAAACATAGTCTTATGGGTATGACGCTAATATTAAGGCCCAATCTTCCCAATGGAAGCTTCAAAAGAGCCAAGGATGGAAAAAGTAGTTCAAGTTTTACAGGATGTCAAGATTCTGCTCATTATGTGTTACGCCTTAAGTAAGGTGTATTAATAGGTTAAAAAAATCCTTTAACTGCCCTTTCCAAATATAAAATTGACCCATTAAACATCTTGAGTAAAAATAGCATTAAGGCGCCATATCAGTCGTTTCTAGACAAATGTGATTTTTTTGAATCTTGTTAAATGGATTACTCTTGATGTTTACAAGTTAGATGGGTGGTCGAAGTCTCAAATCAAAGTTCTCATTATTATCAACACAAGTACGAAGCGCTCTTTCTAATGTACTTTTCGTAAGAAAGAAACTAACCGTACCTTATCATTCATAGGGTATATAACCTCCAAAACAAAATGAAAAATAATGCACTTCTTGAAGGTCAAATAAAGATTTTAATTTTTTGTTCTCGAATTGTTTTTCTATTTTGTATTAATACTTTTTGTTGTTAAATGCCTCAACAATTAAAAGCTTCATTTTAATGGACAATTTTTCAATCTATCACACGCCTTAGTTTAAAAGTCGATTAAAAGAAATTAAAATTGTGCGGCGCCAACTTAATCGTACGTTTAAATAAGAAGTATTAGGTATCTACTTACAAATAAGTGCCACGTGTTTTCTTGAAGTAATCCGAAGGAAATGCGCTCAGATTTGTGATAAATCGATTCATTGAAAGACGATTATATAACCAGCTTATACTTCACTGCTTTTTCGTACATTTTTGACCAAAAAACGGTTAAAATGCCTCAGTTCACATGTTGACCCAATATGTAGTCCGTGAAATTTAATACAAACAAAATCACTGAAATAGCCTACCAGAATACGGAGAATTGTGTAACAGAAAGTTTGGTCGGAAAATGAAAGAACTTTATTATACCTGAGCAGGATTTATTTAATATCAAAGAAAAAATGAAAATTCTTTAAGTAAAAACCACATATACTTTTTGATCATATCTGGTTTGTAAATATGTAGGTATACTTTGTCACTTTTTGGTGTCACGGAAAATGTATGTCACATACGTTTTAAGGGTTGAAGCAACTCGTTCGATATTTTATATCTATCATTTCGTTCGCATTTGTCTTGCCCGCATAATAAGAACTAGCAGATGTTTCTGCCGCTGAAGGAAAACTGAATTTTATCAATATCATCTCGATGCAGGTGACATTTTCTACATCGTAGAATGAAAAACTTTATGTAAATATGTATGTGCATGCATTTTGTATGTAACAGACACCACTATTACAGTTGAACTGTATACATTTTTTCCAGTAATAAATGACTGTAGCTACCTAGATCTTTTCAAAAAAGTCAAATCAGTAATTCTAAACAAACTCACAAAAACAAATGCAATAGGCACCGCGAGGTAATTTCAAAAGAAAAATTTTGTAAAAAATCTGCAAACGTGTTTAAGTTAATGTACAAACGTTGTACATTGCACGCCAAATTAATATTGTGCAACTTGTTAATTGGATTGTGATTTCGTTGAAGAATAAAAATTCACTGTTTTATTAAAACATTTACTTGAACTTTTATTCTATCAATAAAATTAAATTTCAACGTCTAAATTAAAACATAAAACAACTATCAAATTCGTCCAACAATGGAAACTATTTTAGGTAGATTACTGGTGCAAAACTGACTTGTTTGAGAGTTGAAATCTGAATGTTAATTCTTAATGTTACCATGCAACTCTAACTATAAACAGGTAAACTGGTGAATACTATTCTAGCGGGGGTGAATAACTAGAATTGAATATGGAAAATACCACAAATGGCGAGGTAAACGCCATCTGTAGTACGATGCTACATTTTAGGATTACGTATGCTCCAACAAGGTCCATTTAAATATATCGATATCTACTTGCTGAAACGTATTTTCTGGAACGCGCTGTTAAGACAGCAGGTAAGGATTGGTCTGTGTTCTGTCGGGGCTGTCTGCGGCGCGCTGATGAGATTCAAAAAGATCGAAATCGCGATCCGCGTCTGGCAGTTTCGACAGAATACAGACCACTTCGAATTATTTTATTAGAATTGAATATAACAAAGAATATGGAAAGCCCTATCATTAAATATCAGCACAATCGCTATACAGAGATATTGGCCGTCACTGTTAACAACTTATCTGGGAGCAATCTCCCGGTTGATGTATAGAGAGGTGCATATTGCACAGTTTTAAAAAGAGGCGAGTCAATATTTCTGGAAAGTATAATTCAAATGCAATAAAGTCGGCCCAAAAGATATTGAAATATCTCTATCATCGATGACGTGATAACCAATGCTAAGATCGAATCCTCTTCAAAATGCGGCGAGATAAAATAACTACTCCAATAACAGTGTAATGAAAGAAAAACGAATTATTATATTAAGTAAATAATTAGCCTTTATTTAAACAGAAGAAAAATTTTGAACTGTTTAAAGTTCCTTCAAAAAATAATATAAGAAATGCCTACATATCATATGGCAGTTCCGAGGGGGTCGCTTGACGTAGAAGAGGTTTATCACCAAAACACCTGTTTTCCGTTTTATATTATATATGCATAACTGATGACAAATGATTAAGTACAAACCAACAACAAAACTATCAAGAAGGAGCTAAGACGCACTGCGGACTATTAATTTCAACTGTCGTACCTTCATTCTTCCTTGACTTCCGGAAGGAAACTGTACGCTACACGGGGATCCGGTAATTCGCACACTGTGGGAAGATTTCGGTACAGGGCTGCAATTGTCACCCCAAGGCTAGTCTATGATAAACTCGGCGATTCCCGAATTATACGGACCGATGGATGACTTCTTCCCCTGGATTTCATTTGATCTGCTATTCCCTCCATTATCTACGTTTCTCAAAGTCGACCCCATATATCCCGGAACCATTACAAATGCAATTGTATATGAGAATTCCGCGTTTTGAATGTAACGCAATCTCAATTCTGGGATAACAAAAATTATAATTTTGAATGAGAGAGCTCATTTCCTGAAGGAATATGAATACTATAATATGACATTACTTTAGAGACTTCCTCCCAACTACAACTGCCACATGAATCTACAGCTTTGAAAACAATTTGTGAATACCCACAGCTGGGTTAACTTAAAACGTTTATAAACCTAAAATTAGTTTTAACACCCAAGATGTCATCCTCAACAATTATCTACCTGTATTAAAACATAAATATTGATGCTATAAATTGCTTTGTATTTATCTTGAAAGTGCTGTAAAACAAAAATTGAAATGTTGATTCCTGTCAATCATTTTATCCTTTTTTTATCTTTAAAAAACATCCTCAAATTCGACACGACTCTACCATTAATCCAAATAAATTATGTACTTTTTCATAGGTATATACATACTACACGATATAAACGGGTAGTCTAAAAGTTTTCTCGGAAATGTAGATTTAAGGTTAAATTTATTTTTTGTTTGAAAATATCGCACACATATGTAACAGTTACTCATTCAGCCCTAACAATAATAAATTGTTATCAGGAAGCTACTTTTTCCATGTTCGAAAGGAGAAAATGGTCGGTACGAGATAAATGCAGCAGACTGTGGACAATAAAATACTTGCTAAGGCAATGTATAAATGTTTTTTGGCGCAAATGGAACTTT